GATGTATAGGCAGAAGGGTGGATTCATACAGCTTTAATGAATGCAATGTGGTAATACCTGCCACAATTTCAAACGCACATACCTTCAACCAACAATACCACTTCAAACTATCTATTCTAATGATTATCTTGCACATGTGCAAAATGTTGTGTTCACTGGTTGATAGCAAATGTCTATCGAAAGATACTAACGTTGAAGATGGCTGTGGATGGGAGTTGAAAAGAAGTTTGTGTTACCCAAGTATTATACAGACCCTGATACAATTCCAGAAATATGTAATTTCTTTGTGGAAAAGAACAAGATGCATAATGTTTATATAATTTAGTAATTTTTGTGAAAAGCATGAAGTTTTGTACAAATACACATATACTATATAAACGCACGTTTGTGTGAGTATGTGTGTGTATGCATATACACCAGCAGTTGGTCTTGGGGAGTCAACCCTGAGTTATGAGGTAATGTCATTAATAGGGAAACTTTTATCTCTTTGTATTTCTGTTTGTACCTTTGAACTTTTATTATACACATGTATTAATTATTCAAAAATATTCTAGGGAGCTGAAAACTAAGTCACTGAAACAGGTTGAGTGGGAAATTGGAGGGAGGATGTTAGGGGCCCCAAAAATTTCTCTTAGCAGGGTTCAGACTCTGAAGGCAAAGGCTTACTCTTGCATAATGACCCTGCATATTTTCTGGGAACAACATCCATCAAGGAATCAAGCAGGGAAATACTGGGAACTAGGAATTTGGTATAAAAATGTGTACTCTTAAAAATTTATTTTCCTTAGTGTTCATATGAGGAAGACTGAAGAAGTTTAAAACATAATCCTTAGCTATGTCTAAGGCGTATCTTTGTAGCAAGAACTGTTTATAATTAATTTGGAAAGATCAGATTAACACCAATGAAACAATTAGTGAAAAATGAAAAGCGTTAATTCTAAGAAATTATGGTTCTGTAGTGCCAGAATAATTTTGAGTAGTCTTATGGGATGATAGGAATTCAGCTTATAGAATTTGTAAGAGGTCATTTCAGATGGGAATAACAGCATGAACAAAGGGTTGGTGGAAAGAATTAGCATGGTGTTTATGGCGAACAACGGAAAAGTGTATGTGTTATGCGAATATGTTAGAGAATTTTAAAGTTTTTGGAACTCTACATTCAACAAAGTATACTCTAAAATGATACATCAGGAAGGCCAGAGAGAACACGGACTGTACTAAAAAAACGACTAGTGTAATTATAGCTACTTACATTGGAAATGTTAGGGCAAAACAAAGTTTTTAAATGCAAAATGACTTTAAAAATTAATAACATTGAGCATAATCTGATCAAATAATCTAAACCTCTTCTTCTATCTACTTGCAACTATCATCCAATAATTATAGAAACAATAAGAAACACGGCAATTTGTGTTGTTACTTGACAAATTAAAATTTTTCCAGATAATTTATTGGGGGCTGAGGGAAATGGAGATAATCAGCTACAGAGGAAAATTCTTTAGGAATTCCATGTGTTGTCTTCTAATTGATCGTCATCCTTATTATCCTCATTGTATCACCATCACTATCATCACTGTGAACCCACTGCTAGGCTAGGCCCTTGTGTGCCCCCCAAGAAATTACCACTATGAATTTGGTATCCTTACTAGCTCCATTTTACAAGTGAGAGTACTATTGTTTGGCAATTAACTGACTGGCCTATGTTAAAAGACTTATAGGGGTTAAAACAGTATTCCAATTTGGGTAGGTTGAGCTCCAGAATCCAAACTCTGAGCTACTAAGAATAATTCTTGACAACCAGTAAATATTCCAAAGTCCTGTTTATAATTGTTTTGCTTATACTTTTTTCTGCTTTATTTTCAGGCAATGGTTCCCAAGTTGTTTTTCCTGTAGCACTAAATCTTCAATATGTTAACAGGTGTTCTGAGAAAAAGCTTATCATAGTGAAAAGAAGAAAATTTGCAAAATGCTGGATTAAACATTTTGGTATAATTTCTTAACCACAGGACATTTCATGTTTTTAATATGCTAACATTCACCATGAACCTTTAAGAGGCTGCACTGGATATTCAATGTTTCCCAAAATTATTTGACCATGGAATTAATTTTTTTTGTCCTAGAAACCTATTAACATCTTAGGGAAAGTAAGCCTACAGAAAATATTTTGGAAAGTGTCTTCAGGCGATGTACAGATTCATTTCAGCACTTTAAGCACATATGGAAAAGCTACAAAACCGTAGTCTAGATAATCTGTGGTTAGTAAAGGTCCCTCAGCACTTTATGCAAGGTAGGAGATTCATAACAGAATTTCATCCTTTCACTATTTCTTTTTTTTAAGTCCATTTCTTGTGGTCCTTTAACATTCTTATATTCTACTTCTTAAGAGGCTATATATAAATTTAGTTAAGAGTGAAATGAGTCTTGTAAATGAGGTAAAGTGTCTGAAATCTTCAAAGTGAAACGTTGATTGGTACATGATCATTTTCAAGAAGTGGGAAAAAAAGAAAGGTTCACTATGCACAGGAAGGTATGGATCTAAGACTATGTGTCAAATTTAGATTGGAAATGGGACTACTCAAGGAAGTAAGGATATAAAATGGGAAACATATTTTATAAGACCTCTACCAAGTAATACAGAATGGCATTTACTGTCACAACTCTAGGTATCTGGTCATGGAGTTTGCATTTTAATGAATGTAGTTTTATGCTCTCCTGGAGTTTTTAAGAATGAATTTAAAAGAAAGCTAAAATTTTAGTAACATACACTGTTGTGAAAATGTTTTTAACTAACATGCTTATTAAGGTCATATATTACCAGCAAAGTGGAAATAAACAGGGAATAAAATAGGAAAATAAAACTCAAGGCACAATCCTTGTTTTAAGTATCTCATCACAGAGACACTATAGTTGCTGGTTTTACATTTTTGAGATTTAGTACTATCCTTTAGAAATAATACCTTAAAACTAACATTAAAAATTTCATTTCAAAGAGTTTAAGAGGTACTTTATGTTGGACATGACACAGCATGACTGAAAGTACACTTTCAAAATTAAGTAATAATGGTGTGCCAGAAAGTTGGCATTTGATTGTTTAAAACTTCTGTGCTCCAGCTCTGGACAATGGTGTCCTACTCTAACATCTGTGGCTTTAAGCATGAAAATAAATAGAAAATAAGTGATCCTCTTTCTTTCCCTTAGCAAAGTCATTTTTTTAAGAATGATTTTTTTACCCTTGCAAAACACATGAGATCTGAACAAACCTTGTTTTAAAATTATTTTGTTGTTGCTCTTGTGTTTTGATTGCCAGTAGTACAATAACTTAACTCCCCAACAGCAGTATCAATATTACTTTCCATGAGCCTTTATTGCACTTCAAATTCCAAGAGGAAGGTAGAAATGGAAGTTTAAAGGACTCAAGGAGGCAAAGGAGATGAAGCTGTGTGACCAACTGTTCTTTGTTGCCCTTTTCTTAGTACAATCTTTTAAATCCTTGCCTTCAACAATGTTTCCTGCAGTTTTTCTGTGTCTCTCCCCACCTCCCTCTCCAGAAGAAAGAAAGGAAAGAAAGGAAAGAAAGGAAGAAAGGAAGAAAGGAAGAAAGGAAGAAAGAAAAGAGAGAAAGAGAGAAAGAGAGAAAGAGAGAGAGAGAGAGAGGAGAGAAAGAAGAAAGAAAGAAAGAAAGAAAGAAAGAAAGAAAGAAAGAAAGAAAGAAAGAAAGAAAGAAAGAAAGAAAGAAAAAGAAAGAAAGAAAGAAAAGGAAAGAGAAAGAAAGAGAGAAAGAAGAAAGAAAGAGAGAGAGAGAGAGAAAGAAGAAAGAATGAGAGAGAGAGAGAGAAAGAAGAAAGAATGAGAGAGAGAGAGAGAGAGAAACAGGAAAATAAAAAAAGGAGTTGTGTTTCACTTTGGTACCTGCAAGTGCGGGAATTGAATCCATTGTACACTAAGCAATCATTCTAACGGAAAAACAGAGGAGAAGGCACTGTTGTAAGCCATGGGCTGTATTTCTCTGTTCAGCCACTTTCACTGCAAAAACCAGTCCATTTATATTGTTTTGGGTGCGTAGCAGGGAAATTTGAACCACCTTGGTGATACTTCAAGAATCGCCTTCTGTTTTCTTGCACGGTCCCCAAACTCGCCCCATTATTTCTCGTCTGAAACAGACGTCCTAATTAACTAGTTGTTAGTCCCCTACTCGCTTGCCCCTATGCTTTCACCCTTTCGCTCTGTGAACAGATGAGCGCACTGGCCTCTCTCCCCGGCCCTGGAGCTAGCTAAACTGCAGACAGAACAGCAGAGCAAGCCCTGTCTCAGGTGATTAGAGTGTGGCTGCTGACGAGCTTGCCTTTCCTGAGAATTCGGGACATTTCACTTTGCAGGGTTCTGTGTCTCACGCAGCTTCTGCCCCAAGAGCCACTTTTCAAAATCTCTTTTAACTTCTTTTCCTGGCTATACCGAGGACGGGGCTTCAGGGGAATCCTTAACATGGTTAATTATAAAATAAGTGCTGGAAACCAAGAGAATCTCAGACACCACGGGTGCCTTCCTTAACCCCACGGTCTTTGGCGGGTGCAGACACCGTACGGGCAATGTAGGAACTTCAGAGGCGGCGGCAGGTGCTAGGGTGTGTCTGCAGTTGTCTCCCTTTTCTCTTCCAGCAGAAGGAGCCACTTCTGAGAGAAGGGGAGCGGGGGAAGCGGGAGCAAGAGGGGGAGACTGGGGGAGGGAACAAGTAGGAGGAAGGGGGGCTGGCGGGCGCCGGTGTAGGGGGGCGCCTGCGAGGCTCAGGCTCGCACGCACGCCGCCTCTGTTTGTACACAGTGCGCTCCCGGCAGCCGCTCGCTCCCCGCCTGCTCACGCTTCATTGTTCTCCGAGTCAGAAGCGCCGCAGCCGCCGCGGCGCGAGCCGAGCGCACCGTCTGCCGTCGGCCGGCGCGGGTGACCCGGAGCCGCCGCGGGAGCCCGCGCCCCGCCCCGCCCCGCCGCGCCCCGCCCGCCGCGCCTCGCTGGGACCCACCCGCCGCGGAGGCTGAGCCCGCCGACGGTCCCGGAGCTCGCCCACCTCCCCGCGCCCAGGCACAGGCGAAAGGAGAAGAAGGAGTCCTCCCTCCAGTCACCACTCTTCCTCACCCTCTTCAGAAATTTGTTACGGTAGCGCTGCGGGAAGACGTCTTTCTGAATTCCCGGTCGGGGCGGGGTCTGCCGCTGCCCTGCGGTGCCGCCCCGGCGACCCTGCTCTCTGCTACGACCCCTGACCGACGGGGTCGCGTCCGGGAGACGGGATCATGAAGCGCTCGGTGGCCGCTTGGCTCCTGTTCGGGCTCAGCCTCGGGATCCCCCAGTTCTGCAAAGGTGAGGCAGCGGAGCCCGGGCTGCTGGGTGCGGGACGGGCAGGGTGTCCCCCGGGAAGTGCTGCGCACGGGGCTGGAGGAGGTCCTCCCCGGCGCGCTTAGGGCGGCGAGCGCCGCGGGCGGCGCGGAGGAGGAGGCGCGCCCAGGGTGCCCCGGAAAAAGTGCTCGCAAAGTAAAAGAGGAGTGCGTGGGGCTGAGCGGGGAACAGGGCGCGGGGTACCTTGGTGAGGTCGAGGGAAGACTGGGACGGAGGGGAGGTAGGAGGGAAGGGAGCCCTTGGGAATCGAGATTCAGGGTTCCCGGGACCATCGGGTCGCAGGGCGTACCCTCCCAAAGGGCTCCGGGCTGGGCTTTCGTGCGGGCTCGAGCGGGGAAAGCGAGCGTGCCCGGTGCGTCACCTAGTTGAAAGGGGAAGATGCTGGTGATCTGCAGGGCCCTCCGCCCCCGGGTTGCGGTGCTCTGGTAGGCGACCAGGATGAGCGGTTTGCAAATCCGAACCCGGGACTGAGAGTTCTGGCCGCCGGGGAGGTGGAGAAGGGTTTGACAGCTCAGTTCAGGTTTCTCTCGCCTCCCCATCCAGGACGCGCAGCCTCGATTACAGAAAAACCCCAGGAACCCGCCTCTCTCCTAACTCGAGGGGCCTCGAGCTTTGCTCAGCGCTCCCTCCGGGTACAAGCGTAACTCTATGTTAATAGAGAATTGTGTGGTGCGGGACAACCCTCGCGTCCCCGCCCAAAAAAGGAAAGTTGCAGCAGCTGCTCTGGTTGTGCTTTTCAAGACTTCCGTGAAATGAACCAGCCAGTTAAAAAATAAATAAAAGGGGGGGAAACCTCACAATACAGGACTTAGACTGAGTCTCCTGCTGAGTTGTGTAGAAGACTTCCAGGTCCTTTGCTAGCGGCAGCTTGTCAATACAAGCACTGGTCCTGACCGCGTCTCTGCGTGGGTCGGGGCCGAAGTTGGCGCTGGGGAAGGGTAGGGGGAGCAGGACGGGGCTCTGGGGAGGCCGTGCGAGGGGGACCCGCGCCCCTACTGCGCTCAAGGATGCGGGCGATCCCTTCTAAAGAGTCCGCGAGTAATAAAAACCCTCCTCAGGCTGCTTCAAGTGGAGAGCTGAGTGCACTACAGTGTTTAAAATGCTGTGCCTCTAAAAAAAGGATAGTTGCATCAAAAAATGCGTTGGCTCGAATCCATTTGCGACGAGACACTGCATGGATATTCTACAGCATCCATCCATGCACCCATCCGTTTATTGGTTTCACAGGGAAACTGTGGACTCTTGAGCCACTGTTAGCCCTGGAAGCCGGGTGTGTTCCTGGCCAGATGCCCTCGCTGCCCAACTAGTAGCGATCCTCCGTTGCGCCTTTCCTCGTCCTACCTCCCTCTCCCAGAATGTGGCTATTTTCCCTAGCCTGCAGGCGTGTGTAGGTGTGTGCCATCCTAGCATTTACAAAGTGTCCTTCCAGTTATCAGGCAGAGGCAGCCACCCCACTGAAGGTTAAATAATGCTAATGGCTCTATAGTTGCCCGACCGAGTCATCCAGAGATATGGAAAAGACACTACTCCCACCGCCGATATTTTTCCTTTCTCTGTTTCTCGTCTGGATTCCTTCTGCACTTTGATCCCTTAGCAGGAAGGAGAAGGGGAGAACTGCAGGCACTCCCCTCGCTTCCTCCCTTCCCCGCCTCCGTTCCCACCCCAAACACGAAAACACACACAATCACCCATTCACACGCACCTACACAGTGCCACCGCCGCCACCATCTGTCCCCGCGCGGAGGTGGAGGAGGAGATAGTGCGTCTAGCGTGGGCGGCCGCGCCAGCCTCGCCCCACGGGTTGCAGGAGGCCAGGACGCTGTTGCAGACCGGCTGGCTGCAGCCGGGAAGTCGCCTCCCAGAGATACCCACGCCTAGGGCACAGCTACTCCTCCAGACAAGCAACCAAGGTGAAGTTGCCTCGGCTCCCCAAGCTGGCTCCTAAACAATGATCAGGCAGCGGTGTAGTTCATATTCTTCAGTAGATTTCCCCTTTTTCCAGCCAGCCTGTAGAGAGAGGGAAACGGGGATTTAGCAAAGAAACAGACCGTTTTCTATGATCTCTTTTGTTAAACTCGCACCTTTCTAATTCATTCTCCTTCGGCCCTGCAGAAGGCGGAGTGCAGCTTGCGTGACAGCTTCAAACAATTAAACTTCGAGCAAACTTACTGAAGCCAGTGTTAACGCTGAGAATTTCCCCTGCATTACCCACTACCCAGACAACATTTATCTAATGTACGCCTTCTCGAAATTGGTGTTTCCCTCTGTGGGTTGCAATTTACGTACATTAATGCCTGGGATTTGATAAGGACATGTAATTCCTTTTATTGTAAGTTTTTATTTTAAAATTAAACCAATGGATCAGTCAGATTGAATATTTTATTAACTCCTAAATTATTCATCGTTATGGGTCGCTCTAAAAAATCCAATAACATGCATACAGTTGCAGCAAACACGTGACATCTTATGCAATCTGTCCCTGTGCCTGCAGTTTGTGCCTGAAGTCTTTAAGAAAATGGTACTGTCTAAAAATGTCTAGACATGTCCTAAATATTATGAATCACTGGCATTTACATTTCCTTTTTTAAGTAATGGCAATTTTTAGTTAATTCTATGTGAGAATAAATTAGTACCTGAACAATCTCACTTAAGATAGTAAAAGTATGCTTCTATGTTTAGTATAGCAATATTTCTGCTGAAATAACAGGTTTTACTCTTCTAAAAATTATTACACATTATTGCCCTCATTACCTAATTTAAATTACCATTAATTTTATTCCTTAAAAATAAGGGCTAACAAGAGCTAAGTAAATATTTTAAAATAATTTTGAAATGCTGAATCAAAAATAATAAATGAAGGTAAAGTATCTTGCTATGACAGTTTGATACCAATGCAAAATCTTGGTCGTGTCATACATTGTCATATTACAGCACACATTTTTTTTGCCATCTGGTCCTGAAAAAAGTTTTTCTGATTATTCTTGAAATGTTTCCTAATAATTAAAATGTATTTTGTTTTAAGTTTATATGGTTTGGGGGAAACATGTATAATAAAAATTAACAGTTAAACATTGAAATGCTTTACTCTTCCTTCTGTGGTTTTGAAGTTACAAAGATCTTCAAATCCAGGCAAACGTATTTCACTTCTGAACTCTTCTCTAAGTTAAAATTCTCTTGTATTTTTCTTATATATCTTAAGATCAGTGTACATATATAACATTACTCAGGATCTTGGGTATTTTTAATAAGTATTTTAATAAAGGTTGCTTTAATCACTAGATACATACAATTTTTTCCTTCTCACAAAATTATAGTAATAAAATAAAGTAAAGGGATAAAGTATACATAACTAAAATAAAATAGCTTGGTTGCTCAAAATGTAAGTTTGAAACTTTTTGGAGTCTAAATTAGTATTTCAAGCTCTTAATTTCACTGTTATGAAGATAAAATTTTAATTAGAAAATTTCTTTTTAAAGGGTTTTGAATCATGGGATGGACTGTATAATTTGTGTGTTATTAAAAAAGCTGCCTGATTTGAGAGTTTCCTAAAGCCTAAGAAGGTAATTCTGGTATTCGTTGTTTATTGAACATACTTGCAGGTGCTATACCTTTGAGTAGTAGATTCATTATATCCTTGCCACAAAAAACAAAACCTGTGCAGGTTTCAGAACTCAAGTTCAAGCCGGAGTATATCAGTATAGTAGGTTCTGAGAAATAAACAGCAAGTTTAACAAACATGTAATTATTGGTATGGCTCCTATCATAGCTCATCAATTTACTCTTTACATAGCTAAGTTTATTTCCTAAGTAGTTGCAAACTGACATTACTATGAAAAAAAAATAGTAGAATACCAAAGCCAAGTCATTCCTATCATTCAGTTCTTATCTGTGTTTTAAGAAGTGGCCCAGCATATTTTTATTTTTTGTTTTAATCATACCCCATGTAATAATTATAATGTATTTTGGTTAATCAAAGCAAACAAGTATTTACATATAAAGAAGCAAATGGTTGCCCATGTGAAGTGTGGAGTAAGTACTGAAATTTTTGTTCCAGTTATGTAATAATGCTGGAAATTATGTACTATGAATACTTAAACCTAATGAATTACTACTTAATTGTCACTGAAAATATCTCTAAAAAGCCTCTGAGTTGAGGGAGCTGTTGAAGGGAAAAGTAGACTGGAATCAGCTGTGCCCTTGCCAGCAGGTGTCAGAATAATCAATGGAGATCTTTTAAAGGAAAGATGGAAAACTAAAAGACGTGAACTAGTAAATGCTAGTCTGCAAATCCATACAGTCACTTTCTACTTCATGTGAAATTCATGCTATTAGTTTGCAGGGCTCCCGTGAAGAAGAGAGGGAGTGTGAATTTTTAGGGTCTACTGCTTATACCAAGGATTATAACTTGCAAACAGAGTTGCCCTAAGACCATGAACAAGTAGGGTCTAGGTTGTACGATTATTTTCCGGAGTTGCCTGAGTATTGTCCAAAGAAATGCATATAGAGCTATGAGGTACTTGCAATAAATTATTGAGGAAATGTTTAGCATACTTTTAAGCTTTCTTTCTATACCAAATGTTTTATAAGTAGAAATTCTGTTATTTTGATTTGCATGGGTATATATTCAACTATATATTTATACACATTTCTGGTACTGATAAGAGATGACTGCTTACCCTTTTCTCAACTGTGGTAAAGTGTGTTTCCTAGAGCTTGTGTATTTCTAAATATCATTAGTCATACAGTCAAGAGACACTAAATGACATGATAAAGTTATGTCATTACACATTGCAGCCAGTTAGTAATCCTTACATATATGCCTGTTGTGTATCAGTAGTTGTTAGTGAATGACATCATTACTTTGTTTTTAATTGATCCTTAACTGATAATCTTTTGTTGCAAATCAATTCTAGCCTCTGGTGATACAGTCCTTAAAACTGTGTTACAGATTCACCATTCACCAT